CAAAACCCATGAATCATCAAGTTCCAAACAATCATGTCCTTATGAGGCATTTCATCAAACACCTTCATCGCATCCTCCATCGTCCCACAAGAAGCATACAATTCAACAATTCCAATCCTAATCGAGCTAAAGCTCTCAAACCCAACTGAAATAACCTCCTTGTGAACTCCCTGACCCATTTTGACATCACGAAGATTGGAACAAGACTTGAGCAAAGGGGCAAAAGTAAATTCATTGGACCAAATTCCTCGAGACTTCATTATTGTGAAAAATTGGAGAGAATTTTGAAAGTGTTTGGAGAGGGAGTGGCCTTTGATCATAGCATTGAAGAGGAAGATGTTTGGGTTATGGGTTTGGTGGAAGATGAGATTGGCGTAGAAGATCCTTTGGAGTGAGAAGCAAACAGAGATGAAGTGAGAGAAGATTTGATTGGATTGGTAGAGGTTGTGGCGGAGGAAGTGGGTGTGGATTTGGGTGAGTTGGGTTCGGGTTTTGCAGCCGTGGAGGAGGTAGAGGATCCTCCACTCCACCTCCCGCTCATCTTCTTCTCTCCCTATATAATATGTGTCGTTGTGACAGTTTGTATGTTTATATAGAAGAGAGAGAGAGAGAGAGAGAGAGAGAGGTGATTGAAGAAGTAACTGAAATTTGAAATGTGAGCTGGATTAGCACGAAATTTTTTATTAGGATGGATTGTCTAGAATAAATATAAAATAAAATTGGAAAAAAAAATTCAGATTTGACTCTGTTTTATTTTTTTGATCATAGATTTGACCTTGCTAACAAATTAAATTCTACTTTTTTAACTGCTTCAATAGTATGGCCTAATATATATAAGTGCACTTATTTAGGTTACATCACCTTTCTATTTTTTTGTATATCTTCTCGTAAAAAATCAAAACATATATTTATTTGAATCATCCCAAATATCCCCCAAGAATGTGCAATTTAAATAATTTAATTATTTGTTTTTCCTTTATTACAATTGACAGCTACCTCCTACCCTTATTTTTGGATCATCACCACTCTTCCTTTTCCCAACCCACTACCACTGTTTCATTCATTTTCTCCATTCAATGCTGCTACTCTCTTTTCCTAACTCACTGTCACCCCTCTCATTTCTTTACTAATCCATAGCTACCATCGTTGTCCAATGCCACTAACAAAGGTGATTAAACTGTCCAAATTGCTCATGCTTTGCTAGATATAACTAAAAAAAATACAACAAATAAAAAAACTCAAAAATTGTTTTAAAAAACTTAAAACCAAAAAAAATGAGAAACTTACTGGAATGAGAATATGATTACTCTTTTTCTATCAGACAAATTATAGTGATTCTGGCTTTGACCCGACTCTTGTGGTATCCCGGACTCGGATTTAATACTTTTGTGTTGTCGTCTATCCCTTGTTCCCCTTGTATCTCTTTGAAATTGGCCTTGGGTTGTTATGATTACGTTTGAGACAGGTTGGTTGCTTGTTTTTCCCGAACCTTGTTGCCTAGATTTTTGCTCCTCCGCTCAAGCGGTCATTCTTGCGCTCAAGCGGGTTATGTATATTTTGGTCCTCCGCTCGAGCGGTCTTTATCGCGCTCGAGCAGGATTTGCAAACTCTCAATATTTTGCATGTCTACAAAAGTGCTGGAGGGTTGTCTTTCACACTCGAGCGGCTTTTCCTGTGCTCGAGCGGGTTGGCGCTCGAGCATCCTTTCTTGATGTAGAGCGGCTGGTCTGTCGTCTACAAAAAAAATACTGGAAGCGTGTATTCCATGCTCAAGAGGGTCCTTTCTTGCGCTCGAGTGGAACAAAACTTTGTGTCTTACGCTTGAGTGTAAACTCTTCCGCTCGAGCAGACTGCGCGTACATCAGATCGCGAAAAGCACTTTTTACATTATTTTTTCATATCTTTTCATCCAAAACCCTAAAGTTGAGAGCCTCTCTCTCTAAAACTCACCTTCTCTCTATATTTTTACCTGGATTTAGTGATCTCTCCACCCTACTTCCTTTGATAAAAAGATAGAACTTCTCAAGATCTTCCTTTTGACCCAATTGAAGTTAGATTTCGGCACTTTTGGAGTTCCATCCTTTCTTGGCTCATCTCTTCTCTTTGAGGTAAGGACTTTCTACATTTTGTTATGAGTTTTAAATTAGTTATTAGTGATTGTGTAACAATGGTGGGTTTTGGAGATATTTTGAACAAACCTAGGGCTTGGGTATAAAATGGAAAGAGGGCTTTTGGTGAATGAGGAGAAAATAATTGTGAGGTTTGAAAATGATGTTGTATGGTGTCAAATCAGTTGATTTTGGTACTTGGTTGAGATTTGGGGAAAAAAGGGAGTTTGCCCTTGAATGAGTATTGTATTTATTTTGTATAAATAAATGAAATTGACGTTGTAAACTTGGAATTGGACAAGTATTGAAATGGATGGTGAAAATTGAATAGATGATATGTCTTATCGTTGGAAATTTGAATAAATTATATGTCTCGAGAATATATATATATATCTGTTTAGAAATATCTATAATGGGCTATTGGTGGAGGATAGCTTTGATTGTTGTAGAAATTGCATGTGGATTAGGCGAATTGAAATTATTCCATGATTGATTATCATCGAATATGATCATGTTGTAAACACGTTGCATATGTATGTTTATTTGGGAGTGGAAAGGGGATGTACTCCATGTGTGATTATGTGTATATACATTGCATATGTATGTTTGTTTGGGAGGAGAAAGTGGATGGACTCTATCATAATTAAGTTGGCCGGAATGTCCTGGGTGAAAGTCCTGAAATCTAAACATGGGTGCCGATCTCGCAGAGGAAATATTCGTAAAATGGTAAAATTGAAATTTATACACCATAAAATGGCAATTGGAAGTGTTATGTGTTGATTGTGAAATTGTTAGATCATTGAGTTGTAGTCTCATTTGGATCATTGAAAGATAATAGAGATTGACTCATATATTGAAATGAATTGGAGGAAAATGAATTGGAATGTGAAATTGGAGGAAAATGAATTGGAATGTGAAATTGGAGGAAAATGAATTGGAATGTGAAATTGGAGGAAAATGAATTGGAATGTGAAATTGGAGGAAAATGAATTGGAATGTGAAATTGGAGGAAAATGAATTGGAATGTGAAATTGGAGGAAAATGAATTGGAATGTGAAATTGGAGGAAAATGAATTGGAATGTGAAATTGGAGGAAAATGAATTGGAATGTGAAATTGGAGGAAAATGAATTGGAATGTGAAATTGGAGGAAAATGAATTGGAATGTGAAATTGGAGGAAAATGAATTGGAATGTGAAATTGGAGGAAAATGAATTGGAATGTGAAATTGGAGGAAAATGAATTGGAATGTGAAATTGGAGGAAAATGAATTGGAATGTGAAATTGGAGGAAAATGAATTGGAATGTGAAATTGGAGTCAATAAGTACACATATTAGTGGTACTAATGGAGTCCATCCCCTATCTCCTCCAAAACAATATCCGGTTTAGGAGTCCATCCCCTATCTCTTCCCAAACAATATGCATATACAATGTATTAAACACTTGTCATACACAATATTCAATCAATACACGTATTTGCTGTATTAATTCAACTATCATATTCAATGATTTATTCAATGTGATTAGTTTCAATTTTTCCTAATCAACATGCAATGTCTACACCAATCACGACTATCCTCCACCGATAGCCCAAAACAGTTATTTCTAAACAGGAAATAAATGTATCAACAAATATAATCTCATCATTTTCATAGGTGAGTGATTAAACTATCAAACTACACCATTTAATTCCATAGTTCCCCAATTTCATGAATTAAACTTAATTCCACAATTTTCCCAAATTACAATACAAACCCTAGTTTTTCCCAAAACTTCCAAACAACACCAACATATCAAAATGACTAAAACTTAGGACAAAACATATAATATGGAGTAGGGTATCCCTACCTCGAAGTGAAGAACTCAAAAGGAGATGGAGACCAAAATCCAAAATGCTCCAAATCGCCAAACGTTCAGATTAAAGTAAAGCCCTCGTGTCTCTCTATCTTTTTAACAAAGAGCCTAGGGTAGAAACACCCTAAAACTAGATGAAACCTAAAAGAGAAGGTAAGTGGAGGGAGAGAAAACACGGACCTAGGGTTTTGAAATAAAAAAGAGGTTGAAAAAATGTATTAAAAACCGCTGCTGCGTATTTATATAAAACAGGCTCGCTCGAGCGAAGGATTGGTCGCTCGAGCGACCAGACACAAGAAATACTCGCTCGAGCGAAGAAATTCTCGCTCGAGCTAAAAACTCGAAGCTTCAGGTCTGCAACCCAGAAGCTCGCTCGAGCGACAGAATGCTTGCTCGAGCGAAGAACTCGAAAACATACACTTGGCTCGCTCGAGCGAAGTAAAGCTCGCTCGAGCCAAAAAACACAGCTCTCAAGTCTATACTAGACGCAGTTGCTCGCTCGAGCGAATAAACCCTGGCTCGAGCGAAGGACCAAAAACAAAGAGCTCGCTCGAGCGACAAAATGCTCGCTCGAGCGAAGGACCAAAATTTCTGGGCAGCAACCCTTTGCTCCCAAACACTCCCAACCTGTAACGAACCTGCCCAATACATCCCATAACTCAAAAATAAGGAATTAAAGGATGACAACAACAAATATATAACAACAGGATCTACAGAACGTAAGTCCGGATACAACAACCAAATGGGAAAAGACCGGGGTCGCTATACTAGGACTTTAATTGTAAAGGCTAGTCCCACTTTTGTTGTAACTATGCCAAGGTTTGGAAAAGTGTAAGCCCGAAGGGCATTTATTTATGTTAGACTCTTATGTATTATGAATTTCATGTAATGAAAAGATTGTTACACTCTGATTATTGTTGTTACATGTATGCTTCTGAGATGTATTTATCTTATTATTTTGAGGGCGTTACACAAATTTATGTGCACACCTCAATTCTTTAATCACATCAGCTGATGCAGAAAAGCAAGCCCAATTGGAAAAATTTAAACATTATCATAGATAAGATTGAATTTGTTTTAAGGGCTACTGCCTTCCTGTCTTGAATTAAGACAAATATTTTAATGTCTGACAGTAGAACTCAGCTGGAATGTTTACCTCAGGGCTCATTGAGGCCTCCAATCTCAATTTGCTCAAGTCTCTATTTACCCCCTCTTCCCTAACCATAATCGCTGCTTCATCTAACCAAAAACAAAAACAAATATCCAAAATGCAAAATGCTATTACCAGCTTTGGCAACAATTTTTATCTGAGTCTTTAGATTCAAATGTTATAACACGCATGCTTAACCATACTGCAAAACAGTTGAATGATAAAAGTGTTTTCCAAAACAATATCACTTCAATCGAGAAGAAGCGCATTATCGCTCATCTATATTTTTGGCAACATATCCAGTAAGATGAAATGTACAAAATTGGAAATGATATTCAGCCTCAACAGTTAACCTTAGAAGGACAACCATGTGAACACTTTCGTTACTATTTGTTACATTCTGAAAGGAAAGCCAAAAACTTGAAAAGTTGCCCTTTCTAGTAGAATTCAGGAGGTCCAGACTAGGGATAAGCATCTTAAGATCACTTTTTGGATGAACCAAAACCCCCAAATCCCATCATTGCTGCAACATCGACATCTACCTCAGCTTCCTCCTCTGCTGCCTTCTCTTTCTAATCCATATAACAAATCAACAACCAAAAATCATATTATATTTCTCCTCAAGTAACATAAATTAGAGCATGTGCATCTCGTCAATTTTCCTTTTTCCTTCATTAAGTCAGTTTGTGTATCTGTGCTTATCAACAGGAAGAAAAAAAGACAAAATAGATTTGGAACTAACCTTTTCTTTCTTTCTCTCTCTACGTTGACGCTTGCTTTCTTCTTCTTCTTGCTGCTGTTTTAAGATCCAGTCATCAAAATCAACCAAAGAAAAAGAACAGAATCAATCCAGTTTTTCCTTGTATATCCTCGTAGCAATGGAAATAGGTCAGGCAGAAAAGAGTTAAATCTGAACATAAGAGAATTGAGCAAAGAAATGAGAACTCGTAATGCTTTTTTGGTTCACAACTGAGCAATCAATAATTATCAATTGTATTAAAGAAGCAACACAACCTTGTGCACACAAGATATACAACTAAACAATCAATAATACTGTTGATACTTAAAAATTAAACATTTGAACTCAACTAGCCTTAAATTCTAACTAGCAAAATACTAGCTTCTTATTTTCAACTCTTACCTTGCTCGGTAAAGAGTCCAGTATCTTTGCACTTCTTGAGAAGTTCAAATTGCTCCTGTACCTAAAAGCCGAAGAAGGTTAGAGTCTTAGCACACACTATAACACTATGAATAACTTCTTGCCCAAAATGGAAATTTGGGGTCCCAGATAAATAATTTTCCTTTCAGAAAAATCGAAACATTTCGGAGTAGCGAATTTTTTCATCACATAATGTATACATATTGCAGGCACTTGTTTGTTATGTAGGATTATTAGGAGGGATTGGATGTTCCCGGAGATATAATACCAGAACTATTATATTCTTCAATCCAGCCATATCCGATGTTTAGTTGGGGTAGGTTAAGAGATGGCATGAGGTAGACCCAATACTTTCATTGCCATCAAGTTTTATATCAAGCCTTAACCACCATCTACCTAATCCTCAGGCTAACAATATAAGCCCCATGGAGGCACAAACAAAGGGGATAAGTGAGCCCCATCAACTACAAAATTATTTTCATAAAATCAATATATATTTTATTAATTCATTCCTTGTACAAATTATTAATATTTTTTAAAATAAAATACATTCACATCCACACACATCCACATTCACATTCACAATCACAATCACAAAATCATAGGGAAAATAATATATATGTACCCTTTAACAATTGTCAACCAAATATTCATTAAAAAATTATATAAAACATTCTCCAACAATACTAATAATTTTTTTATATATTCAAGAACTTAAATTTTGTATCTAAAACAAAACAAAAGTATCGACAATACAAATAAAAAAAAAACATATATTATATCTTGTTTTAATATCAACAGTAAGTTCCAGTATCGAATGCAAAGATATCATCACGTACTCAAAATGAGTCGCATCTGCAAAAACAAACTCAAAAAAAACTCATCATTTACAATATAATTAATTTCAAGCTTACAACAAATGTAAAACATTTAATATTTATTTCAATAAATAAGTAAATACAAAAAAAATATTGTAACATATTCATGAATCAACCACCACACAATATATCTTCCAACAACTTCAACTGTTCTTAGACCTCGGGATGTTGTTTCCAAAAGAGCATTTGGTTTTTTCGCTTTTAAGACAAAAACTTTGCAATATTTAGGGCTAATTGGAACTCCATCAATTCCACACAACGAATCGTCAATAATAAGAAGTCCTTCCGCCAATTGGACTATTGGTATACGTAAACTATCCAAAAAATACTTTAATTACATCCTACAATGATGACAATACTATTAAAATCAGGTAGTGATTGAACACATTGTGCCATAATCTAACAATAATCAAATAAACACAAAAGATGAAAAGAGTTTCTAAAGTACTTGTTTTCACAAACGGAAATTTGGCTCTAGATTCAAAACCAGATCCAGTTTCGAGTTCCGTCTTTTACTAGAAGTCATTTGTGCCTAGTTAGTCAAGTGTGTCAAGTTTCCTTGACATCCGAAGCCATTTGAGCATTTTATTGTGTCAACCGGTCCGTATAAGAGTTTCTAAAGGACAAGTTTTCACAAACGGAAATTTGGGATCTAACCGGTTTGGAAAAAGAGTTTTTAAATAATAAGTTTTTATAAATGGAAATCAAGCTGTAGATTCAAAACCAGCAATCGGTTTCGAGTCCCGTCTTCTCGTACAAGTCATTTGTGCCTAGTACGTCGTGTGTGTCAAGTTTCATTGACATCCGACGCCGTTTAACCATTTTAGTGAGTTAACCAGTTCGGAAAGAGAGTTTCTAAAGAACAAGTTTCATAAACAGAAATGAAGCTCTAGATTCAAAATTGAAAATCGATTTTGAGTTCCAACTTCTCCTACAAGTCATTTGTGCCTCGTTCGTCGTGTGTGTCAAGTTTCGTTGACATCCGATGCCGTTTGACCATTTTAGTGAGTTAACTGGTTCGGAAAAAAAGTTTCTAAACGACTTGTTTTCACAAACGACAAGTTTTCAAAGTTTTTGAAAGTTTTACCTCATCATCTGGTGGTGGTATACATGGGTTTTCATCGGCCTCATAATCCGTAGGTTCACGGTGGCCACTCAATGCATCCGGTACCTATGATATTCATGATATTCTTCGTTAATCGTATTTATATTCAATAATAGAATTGTGCTAAAATTAGATATTTATAAAGCATAATTTATATCAAACCTGTTTGTTGTGATTTGTACTCCCTTCTTGGGACAAAATAGCCAACATTTCAACTTTCATTTGTCGTATCTGTGTTGAAAGCTTTGCTTGTATCTCCTCTCTTAATTCCTCTCTAATCTCATCCCTCAGCTCTTGTCTCAACTCCGTACTAACTTGCTTGCTGATCTTAGCAACAGTCGATGACTGAGATCCTACCTATGATGACTTTAGATGCATCTCTATACACCGTGCTCCAAAGAACATCCTTGCCGTAAGTACAACAATATCCATGCCCGTTTTCACCGACCACCTTGTGGAAAACACTATCTCGAGTATCTTCAGTAGTGTAGTAATCTTCAAGCAACATACCATGATCGGCCTAACATCAAGGCCAGTTTGATTGCGTGTATATTTCCAAAAACTCATTTTATCAATGGCCAACCCTTCAGCAGTCATCTGAAAATTTAAAAATCAATTATTATCAAAGTAATTTAGATATTGATATTTACCTAAACAATATACCTTCCTTCGAATCTGGTTGAATGAAGTACGTCTTGTGGTGTGATTAATATAATGAAAGGAATGACGTCCAGCATTGTGGACTGCAATTGCCTATAAAGTTTCCATAAATGTAAGTCGCAATTATACAAAGTTATTAATTTTTCTAAAGTTACGTGTTTTGTAATTAACTTATTTTGTTTACCTCTACTTTCATAATCTTCCAATAATCAACAAGATCATACCACTGTTCTAGAACAATTTGTGAAGGCACAATGTCTTTGATATTAGGATGAGACTTAAAAAGATTTGAAATACTTATTCTTGATCTTGCTTTTGTGATCCTTCCATAAGTCATTGCACTTTTTCAAGCAACGTGATTTGTACCCCTCTAGACAAATTTGTAAATTATCCTACAATACAATTTAAATCATTAGTTCAATTAATAATATAATTAAACAATTTACTAAATATGCTTTTACCTTAATGTCCGCCCATGTTGATTCAAGAATATCCTCAGGCACTTGGTTCCAATCAACATACGTAAAGAGAAACCACTCACTAAGTGGAAATAATGTTTTTATTTGAACATATACATCAAGTGGCAACAACTAAAGGACTCATTGTTAGTGTCCTCAAGAATTATATAAATTGTAAGAAGTGTTCCTTGCACAGAAAACAATGAAGTGTGACAGAAGAAGAAAAAATGAAAGTGAAGAAACAAATAGTTGTAAGATAAACCAAAGAGAAGAACATTTGACCAAGTAGCAACCGCAATGAGAATGTGATGATAATGCAACAAAGTTATAGGAAAGGCTGGCATACCAAATTCTTAGTAACATGCATAGTTCCATGGAAATTTACTAAAAATTTATAAATGAAAAAAAAAATGATAAATAAACTTACAAAAAATATTGAGTGAGAAAACTAATTCATCAAATTTCCCTAAATCAACATGCATAGTTCATTTAGAAAACTAGATTCTTAGTAACATGGATAGTTCCATGGAAATTTATTAGAAACTCATAAATGAAAAAAAAATGACAAATATACTTACAAAAAATATTGAGTGAGAAAACTAATTCATTCTTGTAATGTGCTACTCATAGAACCCTATATGGATTTAATAGTTATATACATACGACTTGCCAAACTCATTTTGGAGAATAGACCCCATAAGAAAAGCAGATTCAAATTACAATATTAGGTCTTCTTGTTATTGCCTGCAGAGTTTTAGGAGTATTTGCCATGATCCCTTAGGTTACTCTATTTCTCATTATAGGCCACTTCTAGGTTCCATGATATATTAAAAAAAAAGTGAGCAAAATAAATCTTAAATAGAAATAATAATAATAATAAGAATAATAATAATAATAATAATAATAAGAATAATAATAATAATAATAAATGTAAAAAAAACCTCATTTAAAATTGTTGCTTTTATTTAAGCCTCAAATTACCTCAAGCCAGCCCTGTAAATATACTAGTCAACTACTATTTACTAAAAGGAACAGAGAGATTTGATAAAGAATATGCATATAGTATACGACATAACTATGGAAAAGAAGGGAAGAGAATGATAAGGAAAGCATAGTCAAATAATATCTCATTCTAATTAATTTTTCAAAAACATAAGCCAAATAAGATGTCATTTTGATATTTAATCTGGAAAAAATTTGGGCCTATGTGAAATATTAGATGGTTGTAGTTAACTGACAACTAGTATTCATTTTTTTTCTTTCTAAAAGTGCATAATTGCAATAGGTCCAATGTTTGAAGTCGCAAAACATGGCCATCGAGAATCTGGTGCATAATTTAATGTTTTAATAGTTATGATATACATATAATCTAGTCCAATTTGGTGCATAATTTTAGCAGAGAGAGAGTATTGCCTGAGAGGAGAGTATTGCCTGATCAATTCGCAGCACACAACCCCCTTCTCTCTCTCTCTCTCTCTGCTTATGTATATACCTTAAAATCTAGTTACATTCAAACCCTCTTCATTGGATTTAACTAGAAAAATAGTTTAGATCAAACCTATTCAATTTTCACACTATTTTATTCTTATAATCAAAATTATTCAATCAACTGAACAACCTGTATGCGAGGAAAGCAGAGGAGAGTAAAGGAAAAAACAGGCGAGGAGAGCATTTGCAGAGCTATACCTGGATGCCAGAGGGAGAACCGATGAGGAAGTCGCCGCCGCTGCTGCTAGAGATAGTCTGTGAGGGTAACGTGAGAGCAAGAGAGATATTGTGAGGCCCAAAGCAAGCGAAAACGAGAGGACAGAGTGAAATTAGGACAGGCCAAGAAGACTGAAGGTTTTTTTTTGTTTGTTTGAAGAGAATACTAAGATAAGATAGCGTTCGGTAACGTTTAAGTTTTTGGTTTATGTTTACAAAAATTTTATAAATTGGTTTTTGTTTATTTTTAAAAAAAACATAAATTACAAATGCGTTTGGTTTGAACAAAAAGTTTAAAAAGTTTTAAAAACATAAACTAAAAAATACGTTTGTTCAAGCCTAAAATATTTATATTTATATTTATAATTTATGACAATGGAATCACACACATTATAATTGAAAAAAAATGAAAAAAAAATTACTTAAAAAAATAATTGAAAAAAAAATTAATTGGGAAAAAAAATAATTGAAAAAAAATAATTGAAAAAAAAATTAAGTGAAAAAAAAAAAAAATTGAAAAAAAAATTTTTTGAAAAAAAATTTTTTGAAAAAAAAAAAAAAAATTTAAAATTAAAACCACTTTTTTTGTCTTATTGGTTATTTTATCTTATTTTGTCTTTTTGTGGATTTTGGCAACAAAAAAAAAAAAAACCTAAAATTTGCTTCCTGAACACCCCTAATATATCACTCATTGTTTACCAAAATTTCAATAATGCAAGGCAAGTAGGGCTAGTAGGCAAGGCTTCAAATAATTTTATTCCTTATTATATTAGTAGTTCAAAAATAAAATATCAAAAAAATAGGGCAAATTACATATACTTCCCTCGAGATTTAGCTAAATTACAGATACCCCCTTGAGGTTTCAAAAATTATAGATACCCCCTGAGGTTTATATTTTCATAACAAATTGCCCCCTGAAGTTTATATTTTCATAACAATTTACCCCCTAATTTGTTATGCAAATAGTACCTTATTATATTAGACAAAGAAAGGTTGATTATAAGTTTAACATATATACTAACCGAACCCTGCAAATAGGTTTACTTTCTTTGTATTCCCAGACTACATTTTTAAATCTCTCCTAACTAAATTTGTAAATTGTCAGGACTAGTATACCACTGATACAACAAATGCCTTCCATATTGATAACTAAGCAGCAGTCTTGTTTTTTGGAATGTGTACTATTGCACAGCATATATAAAAACACGTAGAGATAAAATATGAAAAATGTCTGTATGGACTAGGCTACAAAAACTAGAGTGCAGATTACACCATTCAAATTAGATGGCCAACTTTTTCAGTGTCCTAATCAGTACATATGATCTTCAGTGGGAACCAAAAACTGGTCATGCTAAAGATGTGATCACTTAAACAAGCTATGGAAAATTTATTCTCCAGACTTGGATTGAGTATTTCCAAATTGCGGGGTCAAGGATATGATGGGACTAGTAATATGCAAGGTGAGTTCAATGGTCTTAAAACACTTATATTGAAAGAAAATCCTTGTGCATATATTATGTTCATTGTTTTGCTCATCAATTGCAATTGGCACTTGTAGCCATGGCAAAGAATCATAATCAAATTGCTTTACTTTTCACTTTGGTTTCTAATGTAGTGAATGTTGTTGGAGCATCATGTAAACACCGAGATATTGTTAGGGAGAAGCAAGCTGCAAAAGTTGTTGAGGTACTTAATAATGGAGAGCTATCTAGTGGACAAGGTTTAAATCAAGAAACTAATCTTAAACGTGCTGATGATACACGTTGGGGTTCACACTATGGTACTTTAGTCAGCTTGGCTGGTATGTTTTAAACAGTGATTGATGTGCATGAAATGATTTCGAAGAATGGTTCAAATTCAGAACAACAAGCAAAAGCAAATGTATTGTTGGACTCAATTCAATCATTTGAGTTTGTATTCAACCTTCATTTGATGAAAACGATATTGGCTATTACAAGTGAGTTATTGCAAGCACTACAAAGGAAAGATCAAGATACTGTTAATGCCATGAATTTAGTTCAAATCTCTAAAGTACAACTCCAAAAGATGAGGGAGAGTGGGTGGAAATCTTTACTTGATGATATTTTGTCTTTTTTGTGAAAAGTATGAAATTGATGTTCCCCAAATAGAAGATATGTTTGTAGCTCGAGGGAGAAAAAAACGCAATGCTCAAGAAATTACAAACTTACATCACTATCGCGCCGAGTTATTCTACACTGTTTTGGATATACAAATTCAAGAACTAAATGCTTGTTTCACTGAGTCGAACATAGAGTTGTTACTTTGTGTAGCATGTTTGAATCCATCTTTCTCTAGTTTTGACAGGAAAAAGTTAATTCATCTTGCTGAATTTTATCCCAAATAATTTTCTTCAGTGGAGCTCATGGTACTTAATGATGAACTTGATACATAGATTATCGACATGCTATCCAGTAGTGAGTTCTCAATGTTGAATGGGATTGCCGATCTTGCTAAGAAAATGGTACACTGGAAGAGATAAAGTATATCCATTGATGTATTTGCTCTTGACTTTAGCATTAATCTTACCTGTTGCAACTGCTACTGTTGAGAGGGTATTTTCAACTATGAATATTGTGAAGAATCGGTTGCGGAACCGAATGGGTGATGAATGGATGAATGATAGCTTGGTTGTCTACGTTGAGAGAGATATTTTTGATGGCATTGACAATGATACCATTATGGAAAGATTTCAAAAGATGAAAACTTATCAGGGTAAATTGTAAAAGTTTAAAATTTAAAACTTATTGTAATAGATATTAATTTTTAATGTTTAACATTAGCTCAAAAAATTATTATTATGTTATTGTTATTGATTGGGTAAGAAAAATTTTGAAATTGTAATTAATGGGTGCCCCCTATATTAAATTCCTGGCTCGGCCACCAGTGACGGTGGCGGTGTGTGGTGGTGGTGTGAAGCTTCAAAAATGGTAGAGAGAAGAGAGAGAAGTTCTTTGAAAAATATTAGAGAGAGAAAAATAAAAAGATATTTAATGAAAATAATAGACATTTGAGGAGTTTTTGGTACATTTAAAAAGTTAACGGGACTTATAAGTATAAAAAATACTAGAGATCCTAAAAGTTCTACCAAAATTTCTATCAAATGTCTCACATGGGTATTGAACCCACATAAGACCCACACCCATGTAGTGTTACACTCATATGAGACATTTGATAGAAATTTTGATAAAACTTTTAAGATCTCTAATATTACTCTATAAGTATTTAAATTCATTTAATGAGGCTAGCCAGTAATTTAACCTTTTTTTTCTCCCTCTATCTAATTCCTTTTCTTGACCTGAAGTGAAATATCATTAGCTCTACATGTGTGATTCATTACAACATAAACTCTCTTATTTCCATTTTTCTAAGAAAAACTTAAATGAATTGAATATATATTTTCAATTTTGGTATTTCAAGTTGATGAACTAAACCAGACAAGACTATGAGCAAAAGAAAATGACTCATAAATTGGCTGCAAAAATATATTGACTCAAACTTCCTATGTATAAGAGTTAAGTGAAATGTAAACATAGAAAGATGAAAAACGCTTTCTAAATTAAAATTTCATTAATGCCACCATACTAATACCACAGCTACTACCTCTGCCGCCCCACCACCATCAACACCATCACTATGATAATTTCTAACATATTAATTTTAAAGTTGCAACCATACATAATAATTTTTTTTACTGAAAAATGCTCTTCATAAACATAGTTTCCCGTTTGCAGGAGTTGTTGACATCTGGGGTTTACCTGCAGAATGGATCCAATGTGGTCAACAAAATTGCTATGTTGTAGACATCTTGCATTACTAACTTTGTTCAACACCAGAGCTGTGATTGCCATTATCAATGGACGAGAAATGCTTTCTCATTCAACCAATTCAGCAAGCCATTAAAAAAACATAAAAATTTCCATTAAAAATAATTTGAAACAACAAAAAATGCTACAGCTGCGATGATGCCATTACTTTATGAACCTTTTTTTTCCATTTAAAAAAAAAAAAATTGAAACAAAATGCTCTACAAATCTATATTATGAATACAAAATTCATTCCCACAATGATATGCTAGAGCCAAAAATCTCTAGCCATGTAATGATGTTAAGAGGAAAACTCATACCGCTCTGCAGTGATTGCACAGGAGATGAGGCTGCTATCTCAAAATTCATCAATGGCTATAAATTGGCAAGATGACTAGAGCCAGATCCTTTTCTTCGCCGGTGTCGCTTCTGTCGAATTCGCCAAAAGCTCAACCATAACACAAGGCCTAACAAAGAGCAGATGAGTTAATCAAACTAATGCAATTCCATAACTCTGGACAACTATGAAAGCTGTTCAACTAACCAGAAATCGTGACAATGGCAGGTACAAGCCAATGACTAGCAATGGGCATGGGGCATATCAACCTGCAAGGAGGGAATGAAAAATTTCAAAAAATTTAAGACACGACATGTGCAGTACACGTGTGAAATATGTAATTTTATATATTTATTATGTCATAAAAACGTCCAATTAGTACACATTATTAATGGATAAAGCTTGGGAGCTCGAATTCCCTCCCCCCCGAATCCCTCGAAAATGGAAACAGAGGAAAAGAGGGGGAAAAGAGGGGGAAGGCAAGAGAGAGAGATGGAGAAAGAGAGAGGAGAGGAGAGGAGAGGAGAGAGGGAAACAAAGAGAGATAGAGGGAGAGAAGCTCCGCCGTCGCAGCAGCTTGGCCGATCGTCGGCCGATTGCAGCTCTCCGTCGCAGCTCGGCCGAACGTCGGCCGATTGCAGCTCGTCGCAGTAGCTCTCCGCCACGCCTCCGCCCCTGGTTGATGGCCCCTCCAGTCCAGTGCTTCTCCTTCCTTCTTTCCTTCCTCTTCTTCTTCTTCCTTCCTTCCTTCTTCTTTGTCTTCTTCGTTTCTGATTCAACCCAGAAAAAAAAAGAAGGCAAAAACGATGTCGTTTTTGCCTTTAGGGAGATTCGGGGGGGAGGGGACTGGTTTCGAGCTACGTAGCATTACTCCATTATTAATGTATGTTTAAGAGGGAAAGATTTGGCAAGGTTTTACCAATGAACCAATGGTCACCCCCTATT